GAGGTATGATAAACATTGTGAAATGACAGGAAAACACTCAAGGGTAAAGGGCAACTGGGGTATGGGAAAAGAGAAGGGAAAGAAGGAGAAATTTTGTATGTATGTATATACAGGATAGTTAACATAGTTGTTCTACTGAATTCTATTTCTTTGCTGAAAGAAACTGTCAATGAGTCCTTGATTGATCAATACTGCATGTCTGTCTGTTTTCATGAGAAACCACTTTGAAGATATCAATATGTACTACAACAAGCATTGTTAATTTCTTACTACTTTGTTTGTAACTCTGTATTGTCTGTACTGCTCTTTTGCTATTTTGGTAAAAGGTTGTCTGTCTGTTAATGTTTTCCTCCTTTTATTTTTAATATAAAAAAATTAAAATAAAAAAGAAAAACGCTTTTCTTTTTTTAGAGCATCACTGGGCAGCATCAGATCTCTTGTTGAAAGAGAAGTGGATAATGATGCTCGGATGGCTGTTGTTAGCCTCGAGCCCTAGCTCCTCAAGGTGTAGCCAACAGGCCAGCAGCCCTGGCTGACTTTAGAGCCCATTAAAAAGGCAGGATCTTGGGCTCCTTCCAATCACTAAAGCAAAGCTATTACCAAGAAGGCACCAAAGTAGGAAAATACCAGCCAAGAACAGTGGAGACTTGGACCCAGCTCCTTTGATAGTTTTATCTGTTTCCAAATAGCTACTTTTTTGTTTTGTTTTGTTTTGTTGTTTTTTCTAGTATATCCTACTAAAGCAGATTGGAAAGAGGGATAAGAGATTGTATGTGTAGCAGAGAAAGAGCACAGAATCTCAATTCTTCCAGTTATATAATTCTATGTATATTCACATTTATCTTTGGCCACTCAGAATTTTAAAAATAAGCAATTTAAACATTTTCTATGTTTAAATACTTTTTCTAAATTATTACAGCTTTAAGGAAATGTTTTTAAAAATCCCAAAACCATTATGACCATTATGTTAATAAATTTATATTTAGGCCAAGGTGAGTAACAATAAAAGAACCTGATAATTTACTTTAAAGACATGAGCAATAGTTTTGAAATGTAGAGTCACCGAATAATGACTGGTTCTGAAGGTGTAATTGTAAGCCTTCCTCTCTTCCAATGCTATAATTAAAACAAAAATGAAAGTAAATCTAGAGAGCAAACACGTGGATGTGAGTCACATCAGGACATATAATTTCCTTTTTCTACATATCAGAGACCAAAGTTTCCACTTATCTGCTAAAGATTAAAAGGATAAACTAATGATTTTTTTTTATTTTAAAAGACATAGGCAACAAAGTCTAGTGAAATGTTGATTCAGGGAAGAGTTCTCGACACTACATCAGTACCGACCGAATCCGCAGTGTTTTACTGTTTGCAAAGCACGTTGACTACTTTGATCTCATTAGAACCTGCTTAGACCCATTCACATCACTATTTTGTAAGGGTGGGAGGCTGACCCGAGGCCGGGCACCTAACAAGCTGGCGCCAGAGCAGACCCGGCACCCTCACTTCTAATCCTGGCTTTCTGCACTATACCAATGTGTGTTCCTTTCTGGATATACAGGTGGGGGGAAACGTTTTTCCCCTGTGGCAATTATAAAGACCAAAGGTAGAGAGTAATGACTATGGAAAGATACCAGTGTGGGACTAATGGTCTTAGAGTAAATACTGCTACCACCATTTAATGTTGGCAAGAAGGACACGCAGAGCTTTATTCCAAGTCAGTGGGTGGCTTGCCCTGTGGTCCTGTGTGGTCCTTCTGTCTTCTTCCCTTTCTGGCCCACTTGATCTCCTCATCTGTCCTCTGTCACCTCCACCAGAGGGCAGGCAGGGCGGGAAGACGAGCCCTGTGACTGGTTTTATTAAAAAGTTGAAAGAAGAAAACATCGGTCATTATCTCAATTTTGGGGTCTTGGTAGATGTTTTACTCACTTTCTCATCACTAAAACACAAAACTGGACCCAACATCTGCCACATAAAGGGGACATTTTATTTAGGCTCTACTTTCAGCCACAGGCTCCCAAGAAGAAGCAGAACGGCAGAGGCATAGAGTGGAGGAGAGGTTGCTCACCTCACGGCGGTCAGGAAGCAGCATCAAAGAAGGAATGGGGAAAGTAGCTTTCCAGGTCTCCCCACACACACAGCTTTCCGTACCAGGCCCACCTCTAACAGCAAGCCAGCTATCACGGCCCTAAAATCTAGTCACTGTCCAACCCCAACAGGTTTTGGAGGCCACGTTAGATCTAAACCACAACATAATCCCTAAGAGTAGACATCAGTTTCTTTGTGTGTGTGTGTGTGTGTGTGTGTGTGTGTGTATACCAGGAATCGAACTCAGGACCTCACACTTGCCAGGCAGATGCTGCACCACTGAGCTATAACCCTGGCCCCATAGACATCAGTTTTTAATGTGATCTTTGCCACTGTTCTCCTAGGTAACCTAGACAAATGATGGAGTAATAGGATACCAGGACAGAAGAAGAGTGCTGCATTATGCTTCCATTAACTTCTATGGCTGGTTTTTCCAAATGATAAATACGAAATGTCAAACTTTTAAAAAATGAACTCAGAAAGGCATGTGGGAAAATAGACGGGCAATGAGCAAGAGCAGATGATTCACAGAGGAGGCAAGATCTGGCCCAGGAAGCACAGGAAAGAGTTCCACTTCATT